TTTACAAATTTCGAAGATAACGATTATTGTCCCTGTAGAACATAGAATATGTAGTCTTTAGAAAGGTATGTTAATTTTAATTTATTTAAATATTTCACTTTAGCATATGTAATATTGTACTCTGTACATAATGCATTTGTATTTTATATATGAATGTGTATGTTTTCTTTTTCGGATAGCTTTTATATCTATCTTTTACTTTTGGTAAAAAAGTAAAGATAATAATAAATTTTTCTTTAGAAGGATTAAAATATACAAGTCGAAAGTAACACATGTATAAATTACTAGACATTTATTTACTAGTAATTATAAAATAGATACAAATAAATAATCAAATATATTAAATGTTAGGTAAAGTATATTCGAAACAAAAAAAATATATGTTTACCCTTTTCTATGATATTAATCACAATTGTTTGAAATGGAAGAACAATTAGTAGGGTGCATCGAAAATAGTTACCCTATAGTCTAGTAGTAAACAAACGCACATAGCTACAAAAGGTCATCGTACATATTTCTATTCCTGTTGATATAGTAGAAATCGATTGAAATGTATCACTTTATCATCATCATTGCCATTATCATGAATGTATCATTATCATTAATTTTGTGGATTTAAAAATATTATGCACGTATGTTGTTTAGATGTGTAAGGTAAACAATATGCTTAGGACAAAGTTTAAGTATTAGAATTGGTTCTTTCAGAACATATAAATCCTATTAAATAAATATGTATATAACAATATATATATTATATAACAGTACTTTTCATAATATCATGTAAGAAATCCAATTACTAGTCATTAACAGAGGCATAAATATGAATAATAAGAGATATTACATTTATAGGATTTGTTGACTGAATAAAGCTTTGAAAACACGTAGGGTAAATTGCAGTCGTAGTGTAGAGAGAGATCTGAAATTGGAGATCGGTTATTACAGTTACAGTTTTAAAAATTATCACACATGAGACAAAAATTTATAACTTACACAAATCGGTTAAAACCGGTGTAAAAATTTTATGAAATTTCATTGTTATCTTATAAAATAAATTTAACAAGCTTCCATTTCTATAAAAATTTATTAATTGAAATTTTCAAATGAGTTAATTATTTGCGAACTCCTCTGCTCTTGTTCCACTTTAATCAATCTTAGCTCTTGTTCATATCTTATTCTTCCACAGTTTCTCACCTTGTTTCTCTTTATCTCGCTTTATTCGTTTTGTTACCTTTTCTTTCGTTCACCCTTTATTCTCTATCCTTTATATTTTCTCTCTTTTCTCTCCTTTTCTCTTTCTGGTGCTTCCTCCGCTATTCTCTTCCCTTTTCTGTATATAATTTTGCCTCCGTCTAAGGTAGGTCTCTGTTCTCGCGGATGCTTCACGTGACCAGAACGTCTATTGATTCTTGGAGGTGAGGTAGTGCATGCGCCCTCGTGCTCGCAATATCTGCTGCCAAGGGGGTATGTGATACGCTGAAAACGCTGCTCGAGTTCCGTTCGCCAACAGAAGAGACGTAAAGGGGCTATCGTTGTATATAGAGACGAAAGGGTGAACGAGAGAAAAGACAGAAAAGGGGAGCCACACGGTCGTAAAATCTCAGTATAGGTTCGTGGGGCGCTCGTGCACGATTCGCTGTAATCGCTATGATTACCATAGTTTTCATGAGGTATGTTTATTTCTGTCTCTCTTCACCTGAAAATCATTGATGTAGTTAGACAGCTTTTTCAGTAATTTTTTCACGGTTTGTGATTACATATAAAAATTCTTCGGAAAGTTCGATATTACTAACGGAAATATTTACTAACGGAAACCGCTGCGATAGAATATTACTTGTTGTATACGTGTCTTCAATTCTTTTATTTATTTCCTTAGTGTTATAGAGATGCTTTTCATTGCACGACGGTCGATCATGTGACGTTCTGCGCGTGTTAAAAATGTGAAAAAGCAAGTTAACGAATGGCATAAAAACCAATATTTGTCTAAATAAACGCGTGTTATCGTAATCTGAATTCTTGACCAAGATGTACGACAAGATTTCAAGATGTATTAGCCAGTTGCTATTGTTTCACTGCAGGTTCTAATGCGAAAGTAAACAATGCTTCGATGACGTGTCACATTAAACGTTCTCCTTTTACGAGTTGTATCATTTCACAGTGAATCTTTCGAACATCACAGTTATTCATATATTCCGCTAATTAAAATTTTTTCCTTTTCTCCCTCTATCTTCTTCGTACCAAGTTATTACACCATTTTCTATCCTCCTCTATATGTTTTAACGAATATTGAGTTGTTCATATTTAGAATTGAACGTATTGTAATTTTCTATTTTTTGAGCAAAGATTGTTTTCCTTGCAAGTGAGCGTCGCAGAATGTTTCAAGCTCATAAATGAATTGACATTTTTTGCCCTATTCACGTAATATATCGTCGTGGAAAGTTCTGGACTAAGAAACGTTCATGTTTATACTTATCTAATAACAAGGAGAATTATTGTTCAAATCAACTAGACTCTACAAAACTTTCGGTTGAAAATAGTTTTTACGAACTTCGTGATCACCGCTATCTATTTACGTGTAATGATTGATCTTCAACGGCAATGAATAGAATTGACGATTTCTGCTTCATTGTGCATCAATGAAAAACTGGCGTAACGTAAGAAAATGGACGAGATGATTGAAAAATTCTTTATTTTGATTTCAGAAGGCAACTACAATAAAAGTTTAAGGAGACACGTGGACCATGCCAGGTTAAGGGGCGAAGTGGTGACCTAAAACTCATCCTTGGTTCTGACCCTCGATGCTTACGCTACGACTGGTGTCGACTCATTTCTTGAAGCAGCCATAGGCAGTGCCCTTCGCCTTACAGAAAGGGCTCGATGCGATGTGCCGTGATAGGGACATGAACCCAAAACTAGTCAAATTAAACGATCTCTTTTTAACATCATATTGGTTGCCAACATCGATTTAAAGTTGCTCGAAGATTTCGTGCGAGTGTCGACGAAGGACTTTTCTTCGCCGGTCCCTTCTCCTTCGAAAGTTTTCATATTCACCCGTCCTTCTAATTTTCATTATTCGCTTACCCCACACATTGTTCCTTACCCTCTGTTTAACGAATCTCTTCCGTGCGGAACTGAAAATTCGTGACTTGCTGTAAACGTCAACGTCATTATCAACATCGGCACAACATCACTATCAACGTCAACGCCACCGTCAACGTTCACGCCATCGTCAACATCGAAAAATCAAGCTGTCACGGAGAATAAACATAAAATACATCGAACAAAAAGATTTCATAACGAAATAAACAAGGTGATACGCAAATTTTATTAAAGAAAGCTTCATCGAATAAAATACTTTACTCTTCCGCTAGCTATCATTTCGCAGTCAAAAGAATAATATGCAAGATAATTTCGAAAGTACTTTCTTACCAGGTATAACATATCCACTCGGGAAATCGACTGCGAAGGAGAGCAAATAACCAAAAAGTGTAACTCGAAGTAGTATCCAGGCTGAACTCCATCTACTTCAACCTGTGGAGGGTCGCGAGGGAGTGTATTGTGAGTTTGCAGTTTTTAACAATTTCTATAGTAAATATCGGTAAACGTGCAACGACAGACGATTCGTCATTGATACTATCCGATACACGATCTCAGATAGAGCAATCGTTGTCGTCCTGATGTACATTAAAGAAGCGCATAGCATAAAAAGTTTATCGATCAACCTACTCTTGAGAGATTGAATATCGCAAAGTCCATTGTTCGATCGGTATCGAATTCTCATCGACACAGGCATATTGTCTTCTGTCTAGATTTATCGTGAAACGCAACTTTGCAGTAGACGTTAAAGAGTTAAAAATTACACAGTTGCTAGTTCAACGCCATAAAAGTATACTTTATTCGTTTGATATTGGTAAACTAGCTTAATAGAGACAAACAAAAATTGTCAATTTAATCAGTGCGGCGGCGGTGGCGGCGGTTCGCGTTGTAGACAAAGTGGGATGAGACGTCCTCAGCAAGATCATCACCATCTCCACAGCAACCACCACCACCATCATCATCATCATCATAATCATCATTACTATCATCAGCAACACCACCACCATCATCATGGATCTTCGTCGAGTCCTACACGATCTCGACAAGTTCACGACAAGGTAATTTCCTTTAAGTACGTTTCACGTTTTTCAAATGTCAATAATTTATACTGAAATTCAATTATTTCCAAGGACGAATCCCGTTTAGCGAAAGTGAAACGCGTTCTGACAGTATCGTTATTAAGACGTAACGCAGGATCTACGAGGGTCTTTGGTACTCGACTAGATTCGATCGAGCCATACCTCGACACCGGTGTGCCTTTTGTGGTACACCGATTGTGTAATTATATCGAAGCTCATGGATTCCAAAGCGCCGCGGTGTTCCGTCTGTCCGGTGGAAGCCCAAGACTGGCAGAAAGATTGAGGGCCGCGTTTGAGAGAAGAGGAGATGCTGACTTAGAAACAGCAGCCTGTCCCCCGACTGCGGCAACGCTTCTTCGCCAGTATCTAAAAGAATTACCACAACCTGTTGTACCATCAACCCTTGTAGCTAGGCTATTGTCCATTCATGCCCGTAAGCATCTGTTACTTTAATTACTCTAGCACGCTGCCTTTTTTCTTTTCCACTTCTTTTTATGTAACATGTTCGTTTGAAAAGAAAAAATCATAAACCATTTGTTCACAGAAAATTATGCTAACGATCATGACTGTTGGATTAATTTAACGAAAGAGCTACTGTCAACTCTGCCAACCTCCCACTATCGTTTGCTTGGTTACTTGGCTCTTTATCTAAGCAAGTACGAAGCTAAACATGGACGTAGTGCCGGCGTTTGCGGAGTGTTCGCCCCTGTAATTCTACCTCATGTTCCACCTGCTACCACCCTTCTTCGTGATATCTTAGCCGAAGCATCTGTGCTTTTTCCAGATTGGTAAGTTGCATATATATACACCTTTTTTCTTACCTTTTTCAAGTGCATGCATTTGCTGTAAGATGTAGTCATGTTAAATTGGTCAAATGAAAACCTGTTAAACCTGTTAAATAAATATCGCGATATCCAACTTTGTGGCTCAATGCCAGATTTGAACTATATAGGCCATATGATTATTGACCATAAATGTGCATAAACCGCATTATCGTGATTCAACAGTTATATTTTTAATTAATTCTGACCAATAAAAAGAAAAAGATAAAGACAAGATAAGTTTAAAATACACGTAATTTTAACTATAAGAGAAGCAATTATAAATCGCGTTATTATCAGTGTTATCTCATAAAGAAATCCAATCGGTAGGCTTGCAATTACATGTTAGCACGTCTTAAAACTCTTGGCTCGTGTTCGCTCACGTGTATAGCTCAACTTCCTACGGTTCTACGTACAAATAGGTACGCTATTTACATTAAGTCACTTTATGTTCTCAAAATGCCATTAAGTTCCTTGTATTTTGTAAACTTATTTTTATTACATATATTCGATATCATCGTTATCGCAAATTATGCTCGCTTCCTATTAAAGCATACGTATCGATCCTTGATCTTGTTGGAATAATTCAATACCGACGAACGTTCTTGAAAACGCAGTCGATACTTCCTTCTGTCTTATACTTATTTTTCGATTAACGTTCAAGGTATACGCCACGTGCTCTTGCATATCAATATCACAGGCATGCGTTTTAGATCGATTTTAGCATTTTCAGCTGTAACTATAAAGAGAGGAAACGTCGCAAAAATTTTTTCGGCTAGCATTTTTTTCTTTTCTCACATTAAATACGTAATAAAATATCGGGTGTTTTCGATCTATATGACTGCATTATTTCAGTAATGCCTCCTCGTATTAATACCTTCGTATAATAGATACGTATAATGCAACGTATCGTCTCTGTTTTCTTATGGTTTGGTCAATGATATCGTTGATATATATCGTATGACAAAGAGATAAAGTACGATTAAAATTCGAGATATATATATGTATGTATAATAAATATAATACAATATATGTATATATATATGTATATATATATATATATATATATATATATATATATATATATATATATATATATATATATATATATATATATATATATATATATATATATATATATATATATATATATATATATATATATATATATATATATATATATATATATATATATATATATATATATATATATATATATATATATATATATATATATATATATATATATATATATATATATATATATATATATATATATATATATATATATATATATATATATATATATATATATATATATATATATATATATATATATATATATATATATATATATATATATATATATATATATATATATATATATATATATATATATATATATATATATATATATATATATATATATATATATATATATATATATATATATATATATATATATATATATATATATATATATATATATATATATATATATATATATATATATATATATATATATATATATATATATATATACATATATGTATTATATTTAATAATGAGTAATTTATTAATGTAAGTACTTTCATCTTTTACGCAAGAAGAAAAAAAAAGAAAAAATAAAACAGTAACAAGGTTTATTTACATACATATAACGACGAGTTTGTTACACTTACATGCAAGTCAAAAGAAATATTTTTATTTCAGACTCGAAAACTTACAAATTTCTTTAATCTTTTGTCTCTTTCTCTGTCAAATTCAAACATTAATTGCAAATATATACATAAATTTTGCCTTATTTTATATGTACGAAACATCCTTAACATTGGATTTAGTGTATTCTATGTCATTTCATAGCATGGAAACTTTACCCAGATATTTTAGCTAAAATTATTTTAACTTTACCACTAAAGTGCGTAGTTCCTCAATTTAGCCTGAAGAGATCGTCCAGTCACGCGGTTCGTGTTATTCAACCAACAATGTACTGTCTAGTACGACAAAAAATACGGAGAAGAACCTGTTTTTTATGCGTATCGAAATAAACGCTTAAACTCGTTAATAGTCATCGACTCGTATGAAACTGCGGCAAATAACGTTTTTGCTGTTTTTTCGTAAAGTTGTAGAGTATGATTTTGCATAAGTTATCAAATCAAAGGACAGGTTACGATAAAAAATTCTTAACTGTTATCTTCGATAATTGCTAAAAATTATAGACAGAGAAATCATCAAGTTTTCTCTTGGAAAACAGGATTACAATAAATCCTATATTAATTTTTATCAACTTTGAAATCCAAGATTCGTCGGCTGCTCCCACTCGTCCCGAAGGAAGACAAATTTCATCGATAAACGAAAATTAGCTACTTTACAAAGAATTGAATTTTTACGTAGAAGAATCGAAAATATGCTTTTCGTCTAGGATACTACGGACATCTTAGTTTTGTCTATCCTAAGTAAAAATTATTATTGACTGATTCAAAGATGCCCGAATCAATCATATGCGTTTATAAGCTTTAAAGTAATCATGAATCACGAGTCATTGTGTTTTATAATCGATGCGTTTGCAACATATGTATATCATGCAGTCTAGTCGTTCGAGGCACTGATCCAACAATGACGTAATCCTCCTTAATAAGTTTCGTCCATCTTAAACACTATCATAACCATGCACAAATACATATATAGAATCGTTACGTAGTTACGTGTTATGTATCCGTAGTTGAAGGAAGAGCCGTTTGGCACAAGCCGGTTTCAGCAAGAAACACGCCTACCAACGAAAATAGTTCAGAAATCGAGATCCCTCTACACGAAAGTTGGCAAAGTATATATGTATTTAGCATACAAATGGAATCGTTCATACAGACGCAGTTTGGCTTTACCTTCGATCTTTCGGCTATTTTCGTAAATAAGTAAACGACAAGTTTTTAAAAGAGAATGTTGACTGACAAACGTTATCGAACGAGTTTACCTAAAAATCGTTCGTATTCTATTACTAGTGATTTTACGATGTAGCTTCGTACTAAATGTATATACATCGTCGACCAAAAATAATGTTTCGTTGACGTCAAGGTGTCAAACATGCGGTCACAGATATCCATGTTACATTTGTTATAGATCGTCATTTAATACAATTTCATACTAACGAAGAAAATGATTTTAATCTTATTTCATTTCGATAGAGGCGGTTATATTATTGCACGTATGGAAGAAAGAATTGGAACTAATTCATGAATTATCTGTCATAAATTATAAATCATCGTAGGGATCGACGAAGTCATCGTTAGGGGCATCGTTGGAACCACTGGGTATCGAGCTATTATCGCTGTCATGTAAATTACAAAGTCTCATTTATTAGATAAAAGTATTTTATATTGTCTTAAAAGAGTAGGATTCGTATCGAAACTATACTCATAAGTTAATCACGATATTGCTAGTGACAACAAGCTCCAAACCGGTTTCGAAGGGTTTGTTTCTTCCGGTGCAGCATAGGAAAGCAGACACCGTAGTGGTTTCTGTGTAGTTTAGCATGTGAAGCATTGCAACAGAGCTATGGAGTTTGGGTGAAATTCCTATGTTAATTATGGTCAATTTTACGAACGCGTAACCAGTGCCAACAAACATGAGTCAACGGGAATATGGATAGAGAAAGAGTTTCCATTCGATCGATTCTCGAGGCTGTCACGTGTATTACATGTATATTCGCTGTATATACACTCACGGTTGATAGACAGTAAGTAGTAACGCTCGGGAAGTCGCGTGCGTCACGCTCGTCACGCGCAAAGACGAACTACAAGATCGGTGTCAGTTGAAGGAACAGAATATAGAGAAGAGTCGATCGGCAACAGCCGCAGTCTAATTTCTGACTTGTTCGAAACTTTCATTTGGTCAACGCGTACCTTCAAATCGGAAGCAACGTACAACGCGCAACGCACACATTTGTGAACGTGAAATCGTCCGTGAATCCAACTAATTTCTTCCTCGAAAATTCTAGGTTCTGTGTTTAGACTCACGACTTCTAAACGTGTACTTTCATACGAATCAGCAGACATATATCTTGACTAATTATGCGGGAATTAAGTGTTGTCTGTTCGTTGTGAAGGACAGTAGTTCTTTGGAACTTTCGATCGAAAAGTGTTCGCATTTCTTGCGTACGAGTCGACTGAGAACGCTCTCTCGTCTAGTTCTACAAGCAGACGACTATAAATGTTCCATCGAATCACTGAGAGACTCGTGTTCGCGCCGGTGGTCCGCCATTGGAAAAGAAAGTTGGTGTTCGTGATTACATGAATAACTTCTACTGCAAAAGGGATACGCGTACAGTAAGTTTATTGCACGCATCACCAACATAACAAATGCAAATAAAGGGTCGATTCCTTTCCCGTTTTCCGTATTTATCGACGATTCCTCTTCTTATATTTTCATGTTCATACTTCTTTCCGACGGAAATTCTTTTCTAAAAATACAGATAGACGAGTCGCAATTGGTCAATTCCAAGTATTGCAAAAATACAACAAGGCTAAGAAGTTGATCCATTTAATGTGACAAATTATACAACTTAATCATGCATGATATTAACGTAAGAGGTAATTCGATTTAAGAAAGAAGTCTGAAAATAGGAATACACGATGTGTTGTTATGTAATGTCAGCGCGATACAAGATCTCGCGGTTTTATTAAAATCTGCTAAAAAAGCATCCATAAAAGTGCAACTTTTCTTTGCCTTCATGGTAAACATGTACTATGAAAGATATTAGTTATTTCTGAGGACACGAGAATGTATTTCTTACGTACTTCGCTGCTAAATAATTGCATTACTGGAAGTTTTTTAATCGATCCCTTTTAACGGATATGCCGACAATTTGTTACTTACGATTAATCGATAAAACAGTTCACCCTGATTTAAAATACATAGCTTAAGAAGAAGCAGTTCCTTACATTAGGATTCTAGTAAAAATGTTTTCTCTTTTTAATTTAATTGTTAGCCTGTTCTCACTTTTTATTTTGTTTATCTTTATTCGTTCGTCACTAGGATATGTGCATACAATATAAAATATCATTTGGGACGATTATAAACGTCGATGTACCTTGAATGTGTTTTTCTGTACCTGTGGAGAAAATAACGTCGTTACATTGTCAAATATGAATGTGTTTCCATGGGACAGCGAGAAAAATCTCACCAGGAAAGCATAATAAAACGCGTACTGACGTGACCTACCTCGTGGTTGGCGTTCTCAAAGGCATTTCTCTCTAACGCTGATCGATCACAGTCCTCCGTACCTTTTTTCTCTTGTTGAAAGAACGACTCGACTCACTCAAGTATGTAACTTTTCAATTTCCCAACGATGCATTGGGTGCTGCCAGACAAGTCGAATCTAAACAAAAATATGAAATTTCGTAGCATGGTATTTTTTTTATTTACATCTTAATATTTTAGAATTTAAATTAAAAAAAATTATATTTCATTTGATTTATAAAACTTTTGTATATCTATTTTTACTATAGTTTTTAATACCACTTATTTAGTATCTACATATTAATTTTTTAAACGTTATGTAAAGGTATTACGAACTTCTCTCTTACTCTTACTCTTTCTTTCAATACACTCTTACTTTTAATTATCTTACGTTTCGATTATTTCGTTCAACATGGTTAATTTTTTGTACATTCTGATCGAGGCGGTCCTCACTGGCGTGGCAATGGAATTTTCCAATCTCTCGCGTATTACGAAGGATAAAGCAGCGTGTGTAAAAATAGGAATGTTACAATGTGTATAACAAGATTGAGGACTTTGATTTCGTAAAGCACATTTTACTTCTCACTGCATTAGATCTATTTTTGTTTCTAATATAAGTTTTGGTTTAGTAGTATCGTTCTCGTGAAAAAGAAATACATTAGCGCAAGAACCGGTGACTCACTTGCAATTTCCTCATCTTTTATTATTATTATTATTACTATTCTTACTACTACTGCTAGTAGTAGTACTACTACTACTACTGCTACTACTACTATTACTGCTACTGCTACTACTGTTACTATTACTACTACTACTACTACTACTACTACTAC